CCCCCCCCCCCCCCGGCCCGTACGGCTATGTAAAAACCTACAAGTAACAGCCTGCTGCATTTTCAGTCTCTTCCTCAAATATAATCTGAAAATCAATTAATAATATTTTCTAAAAAAATGACTACATTAAGAACCTGTGAAGTATAGCTGACCATGTGATACCTGTGTCTTCAAAAAGGATTCCAAATGTTGACTTACCTTATTTCCCCAAACGTGCACATTTTTAAAAAAAATAGATTTTAGATAATAAGAACCTGTTTGCAATGGGCTGAACAGGTTTTTGTATATGTATAGAGACCAGAGAGGTCTCAGTACAGTTGTATCTGCCAATGCTTAAGAGGTTCTTAGAAACTAGTTTCTTACTTGGGTTTTTTAACTTTAGCCTGTCTAAAATGCGAAAAAAAAATGTGTGTTGATAACCAAACATTTATAGATGGTTTTCTAAGGCTTTTTTTTCTCCATATACTACTACTACTTTACTAAACAAATAGGTCCTGCAAAATAACTGACATATAAAACTGATGTCTTGATTTTTCAACAAATGCTATTCACAATTATCCGAGGGAGATAGCTTTTATTTGCAGAGAACACTGCTGAGAATGAGCGTTTGTATTAGGCCTAAAGGGAGAGCATCCTTTTGTTTTCACTATCAAAATACCGTACTCAGTTTAACAAGTTAACGTTTTCTATTTATTTTTAGTCTTTTATTGCGGTCCACGAGAGTATAGAGGAGCCTAATTTTTCATTGTGTAGCCCGTGCTAACCATGTGGGATAAATGGACTTTGGTGACCATATTTAACTGTTTCTCTGTTGTTCTTTTTCCCATGCAAGAGTCGCACTGGAACTGAGCGTATTTCCCTAATATTATCCGATTATTTACTAGTCTTTAAATGTTAATTTCACCAATGAGACAAAGTGTGTTTCTACCTCTATTCACTATTCAGAGGGTTGTTTTCATCAAAGAAAAACAAACCCTTCTAGCAATCTCGCCTCCCCTATTACGCAAACTAACTCGCCGTCCCAACTAGGCTAGCTTGCGTCGCAGACACTCTAAACCGCCTGGATAGCTAAGTAGTGTGCATATAGACGTAGTTACCGGTGAGTTGTAGCAAATGGATTATGGTAACAGAAGCAGATCATTCCTAGGATTCTACGGTGGCCCAGAAGGGTCACACATGTAAATTAAAAATGTTGCTGCAAACTAAAATTGGATTGTCCCCCGGAGCGACAGAAAACGATAAATCAAAAATATACTTAGACTAATATGATTTATACGAAAGAACAGAGCCGATGTTGATCAATTCCCTCCTGCCTTTGAGCATGACACGTGGCCATTTTCTTGAAGGTAAATTCCGCTCTCAGTATTCAACCTAGTTTCTGTAGTTTGATTCAGCTTCCGGCTTTAATTCAGCAAATACAAAGGAAATCCTGCTTCAACCCTACAAAGGATTCCACCTACGACAGCCGCACCAAAAATGTGTCATCTACAAATGCCACCGAATTTTTCAAAATTTAGTTTGACAAATTTTGTATGTTTAGACTTTCACAAAGCGTGTTCGTTTATCTCAATACGACAAAAAAGGAGTAAATTTTAGATCTTTACAAATAAAAGAACTTTCATTAATACTCTTTCAAAGCTGTGTTAATTGAATGATTTTCTTTGTTTGCCACCTAGCCGAAATGATGTTAATGACTGTGTTAATTTTAAATTTAGCCCGCGAGCATTAGCTCTCTATTTAGGGCAAATCATTAAAGAGGCCTTCCAACGGGGTATGCTGTCCCTTTGTTTATCATTCCTCAGGCTGCCTGTAGCCTGGTAGTTTGGGAAAAAATATCGCTGTCGCATTTTAGCAAGGTCGAGAAAGTCGCTGTCGTTTGTCATATATTTTTGTGATACTCAACTTGAAATTTACGGCAGATAAACAGGATATAGAGCCACAAAAGAAAAAAATGTTATTAAACTTTCTCCCTCGTGCTGAAAAGTTATACGCACATGCGTTCTCGCGCAGATCGCTTGGCTCGCCCGAATGGAGAGCTTGAAACCTCACTATCAAAAATTTTGTGTAGACTTAAATAAATAAGCTTAACATGCAAATTTAAGAGATTTTACCTTACACAGTGGCCGGCAGGAATAAAGATTTACTCAGTACGGATTGCAATACTTTCCTCAACTTCCGCTTTTAAACGCCACCGCGTCAAACTGGGCTGGGCTTCTTGTGTAGCAAAAACGATTAATCTTGTTCTGAAACAATTTGTCCGTATATGACGTCTCCATACTTAATATGACTATACGGATAATTTAGAAGATTGTTTACTTATTGTCCTTGCATATTTAAGTCCGTTGCAAGCTCACATCCGCCTTCCGATGACCTTGGATGATACGTCATAAGCGCGAAAAATTTCTCGTCCTCATTTTTGTACCATCCAAGCCTCGAAAGTGTTTTCACGTAACAACATTTTGTGGAGGATAGACAAAAGGTTGTTTTCTGTTTCAAAGACTGAAAGTTCCTTTAAAATGAAATTATCACCAGCGGTTACCCCTCGTACCAGCCTACGTTTCGTGGCTGTGTCAGTGATGTTCTGTGCTATTCTGGTTGACATTTTTGCACGTGAAGAAAAACTGGCGCGAAAACCGCGAGAAGAAGATCGCGTATCTGAAGGCACTGAAGTTGGTGGAAAACAATCGCAGTTGCACCGTGATCGAAGAACGGTGAGAAATAACGCGACCCCCAACCTGTCGGAATTTGCAAACCGGCTGAAAGATCTTGAAGAAAGGTATAATCTTAACTCGGCGATTCGCTATGAATCTCGCTTTTCTATCACGTGGGCAATGTTAAATGTTGGTTACGTGTCACTATTCTAAATTCAAACTGCTAAGAAAATGGTGAATTTACTAATATCATTTCTCTTTTTAAGCCACAACAAGAGCGTACATTTGATGATCAGACGATTTCAAGAGTTGGAGAAAAGGTTTGAGAAATAAAATTAAATGCATCATTACCGTGTAATTGCTTTTTAAATGCTAACAAGTACTTCCGAAGTTCTTACCCCTAAGGATTGCATAGGAAACCCGTTCGATTTCTTGTCTAGCTAAGTATGTTATTTCACCTATTTCCAACTTGATGTAGAAAAGGGGAAATACCGAGAAAGCCTCTGTTATCCAGGCCGGACACGTATTATACATGGACGGCACTGGTGGATGTGCAGTGGAAGACTTGTGTGGGAACTGAGTTTCATCCAAAATCCGCTTAACATCGTTCAGTGTAGTGACCAGGGTTATTGTTGATTATCTTTTATCTTTTAGCTATAAACTGACTTGGTTACAGACTTAATTCACATCATCGACGCAATTATTTCCTAGAGCAAAAGAAGCTTAATAAACAGCTGTAAAAAGCAATCAATAAAAGAACACAATGTTTAACACAGGGGCACCCAACGGCTGTTTTCTGTAAAATATCTGTTTGGAGAAGCATATATTGCCTCAAATTTTCTATTTCTCGAGGAGGGCTAAAAATTTCTAGATAACCATTCCACTCACGTACAATTTTCGAAGCTTATCTTATAAATTACCTACGATTTTCTAAGGTTTAACTTTTCACATTTCACTCCTCAGGTTAGGCTATTTTTCGTAGAAAAAAAAGAAACCTAAAATTTTGGGATTCAAAAATGTGATGGAGAGCCTGAGAGGAATCAGAAAAATTATCACTTTCGTAATACGTTTAACTGCATCTACAATTTTCGGGAAAGTAATACATAACTGAGCCCATGTAATTTCGGAAACTCTCAAGTTGCCCTAGAATGACCGAACAGATACAAACTTTATCGCCGCTTAAATCGCATTCCTAGAGATTTAAAAGTTCTCTGGATAGCCTAAAAAGTGTTTTCAATGCATTTAGGAGGAAACCGTCGTTGAGTGCCCCAATTAATAGATTTCTTACAGTTAAAATCAAGCCTAATTAAGCCTCAACTGGTAGTTGAACTTTACTTGGGATTTAAGGCTATTTTCACACTATACTGATCTATACTGGAAAGCTTTTCGTGTCGACACGAAAAGCTGTTGGGTTCACACACGCATCGAAGGGGTTGGCCGAGGGGGTTAGGTGGACTAAATCCCAGTCTTCACTTCTCACTCCCTAAATATTTACTTCCGTCTCAGTAGATTCCAGTCCTCGCTCCTACATTTTTACTCCCGCAAAGGTTCACTGTACAAAGTCTGGCACGAAGTGGCACATGATCTATCTGATATGTTACGCTCCACATAAAACACTGTCTCTGAGATTTTTTATGGTTGATCTTTTTTTCAGACTTGATGGCTTACTGCGATTATCGCCTCGACCAGCAGGGGAATCCTACGGGTCACTTTTGAGCTACCTTCTTGGTAAAATACGATATTAAATCCATCAATATAGGCAAAATGATGTCAGGTCCATTTGGTTGGTTAATGTGCTGTGATTTATGGGTGATTTCACCGATGTGTTTCTATTTCAGGTCAGCATATGCAAAACCCTGGAAAGGGACGAGTTGGACCACCCGGCCCTCCAGGGAAACAAGGGCCAGCTGGACCAAAAGGATCAAAAGGTAAAAAGGGTAAACGACAAAGATGGAGGATATCGGGGGAAAATGAAAATTGTATAACGCCAACTGTGAACGCAGTGGAGAAAGCAAATGAAACTCGTTTTGTAATTTCAGTTTTTATGTTCCAGCAATTAGAAGTTAGCCGGCAGTAAAGAAGAAGTGCGGTTATCGATGTTAAATTAGGGTCTCAGTTATTTTCTGACCAAGTATTTTTTTTTTGCGGTTCTTGCAGTTTATGATCATGGAGTGTATCAACTGCAAGCCGGCCAATTTGCAACTGCTACACGCGTGAAAGCAAATGTGGATTGTAAGAAGTCCATAGGAGAAAAAAGCACTTTAATGGATTCCGCCTTTTAAGCACTAAAATTAGTAAAAAAGCTGGCATCGAGCGCTTTGACTCATTTTATACTCTGCAGGGGAACAAGGAAAACCAGGTACCAACAAAACATTCCCAGGCGCTCCTGGTCCTAAAGGAGACCAGGGAGCAGTTGGGAAGACTGGAGCGCAGGGACCACAGGGTGCCAAAGGAGAAAAAGGACAGGATGGAGTTGGGACATCAGGAGTGAAGTACGTTCGCTGGGGAAGGACCACATGTCCTAGTGGTGCACAGATAGTTTATAAAGGTAAGCGAAAAGGAGCTTAGTATGATAGTTACTATTACTCCTATGGTCCTAAAGACAGAAAGAGTGATAACCTGAAGATTTTTATGCCACATACACTTACTAATCATTATTTAAAAGTGACAACTATGAAATGTTTCCAAGCTTGTTACCTTTACTGGTTAATAACCCGGGCACGTCTTTAAGTTATCTCTTTGTTGCATCTTTCCTGCATATTAACTGTTGAGTAACTGGTTCGTGCCTGTTCATGCATAAGACAGAGTAAAATCTGGGTATGAGTTAACGCCTCTTGTTTCAGTTTCCTAACAATGCGCGCTCTCACGGCATTGGTTACGTTGAGGTCACATCAAGATGTATCGAGCCGCATCGATCAGACCCTTGAACAGTGAATTATCACCCACGAAGCATAAATGATTGCCGCTTGCTGAAATTTGGTTTCATAAATTTGTACAAGTAGGCTTTTCTTTGTTTTAGTGATCAATATAAATAGACAAGGAAATGGCAAAAAAAAGGATAGTGTAATTCTAGAGTATTGTATTAAATTTTTGCCTCAAAATGTTACAGCCATTTGTGGTTCGTGGTCTTGGTGTTTTTTAAAAGCAATCTGATTAGTTCGCTATCTTAATATTCACCTCTTAGCGATATTGCGTGAGCTAGATGTTTTGCCAATTTTTTGAGTAAGAACTAGTCAACAGAATTCTATGGTTGATGTTTTTGAAGATAGGAAAAGATTTCAAAATATTTTAACTGCGTTTTCCGACTTACTTTTATAGCAGAATGTTTTTCGTTTGCAACAACAGTTTACTCAAGTAGAAGATGCCATTTTGTTAACTCAGCATTTCCTTACAAGAGGAATTCAGTTGCCTAGAAATCAAAGTTAATTTATGATAAAACAAAATAAAAGCAAATGTTTACGAAAATTCTTCATTTCTAATAACCAGGACAGAGAAAAGACGCCTTTCCTCCCTCAACCGGTAGCCGCCCTTTCATGCACTTGCGAAGAGCAGAAGGGGAAAGATTTTAATTAACTTGGCGAGTTGACAGAATTTCAAAGAGTAATTGTTGATAAATTTTTTTTGCCTTGTATCAGGTATAATGGGTGGAGAGCATTACAATCACCCTGGTGGTGGAGCGAACTACCTTTGCCTTCCACACAATCCAAAATATAACAAGTACACAAATGGCCATCAGAACTCTGGATACATGTACGGTACTGAATATGAAGTGAGTAAGTACAGCGGTAACCCTTTTAAGAGAAATCTCCATGATCATGAAGCACCATGTGTTATCTGCTTCGTCAAGTCACGTGGCTCGATGCTGATGATGCCTGCCAGAAATGACTGTCCATCTGGATGGACCGAGGAGTATCATGGGTACCTGATGACAGAACATTATGGCCACAAGCATTCACGTGATTTCATCTGTGTTGACAAGGATCCAGAGTTTGTTCCTGGTAGCAATGCAGACAAGAATGGTGCTTTGCTGTACCCTGTGGAAGGTGTTTGTGGCTCACTCCCATGTCTTCCTTATGTCAGCGGTAGAGAGTTAACATGCGCTGTGTGCACCAAGTGAAGGGAAGATACCTGTCACTGTGGCATGGCTGCCATACCGATGAGCTACGCAAACCAAATAATAATGGTTAAATCAGTATATATGATTGTAATTCATATTTTTTTGGAGAGCAAGTCAACCTTTACCTAGATAAAACACACTGCGTTATCTGGTCTGCTAGCACTATGGCGCCAGAAAAGTTCGCTGTAAATTAATACGGGATGTAAGCAATAACAATTAAAAGAAGGTGAAAACATTGATAAACAATGTCTTTCTTTTTTCAACTGATTTTCCAACTGATTCCAAAAAATAGGTTCAAATTCCTTGGCAGACAGCAAGTAGCAAAGCCAATCTTCGACTGCCCAATTAAACTTTAAACAAGGCAGAATGACGGCTACTCTTTTGCTTTCAACAAGTCCTTCTTTTTTGAGTCCAATCTCGGAAAGGAAAAAGACATGCAAGAAAAGAGAATTTCCTCATCATATTGTAGCTCGCCTAAAAGACGTTATTTAGGGTTCACGAGCTACCAACGCGGAGCGCGAGGCCCCCCAAGGAAACATATACAATAGGAAATTTGTCTTAGAGACCTGAACGCCTGCGCTACCTGTGAACTGTGATTCTAGGTTTGTCGCGCACACGTCACACTGCGCTCGCAGCTTACGCCCATGATCAATATATTTAATTGTACCTGGTAGGGGACGGACGGGACGGTGAATTTTGTGAAAACAAATTATGGAGTTGTAGTCTGGCGAGCTCTTTCGATGTCTACTCTATGGAAGAACACCTAAACAAATGCGAGATCATTAAGAAACAGTCCAGATAAGAACGATAGCAACAACGGCAACGAACATGTTGGAATGCAAAAAAGGTGCTAACTTTTCTATTGTCTGTACTTACTTCTGATTGGCTTAAACAGCAAAACTTAACAAAACTTCATAAAGCAGTACATATATTCATCCTTACTTTCCAACCATCTTCTATATAACAAAATCTGGTCTCAGTTTGAATAACAAAGACTCCTATGTGAGGAACATGTAAGATTGTAAACTTTTCTTGGCTATTGTTTTCAACTCTTGTGATTGGTCAAAATCTTTTAACAACAAAAAACACCCTTTTAAAGTGGAGTGTAAATGAATTTTATTAAGTAACCGGCCTCCATGTAGGTTTATGCATTCTCTGTGTGAAAATGAGCACATTAATTCCTATGTGGGGAAAGCACCGTCGCCGCATAACAAAAGAAATTGCTATCCACCTTACCCGGATCATTACTTAATGCGTTACAAAACACATTGGTGACGAGAATTAAGGACATGATCACACACAATTAATTTAATTAAAACTTCAGCAAATTCTCCCACTAAGACCACTAATTCTATAGGAAACGTGGTGGGACAACAAAGTGGATTAAACTGTGGATTATGTTATGAAGGAAGATGCAAATTTTACACAAACTTTTGCCCAGTTTCCTAATCGCCCCCTGTAAGTCCCTCCTCGTTTTGGGAAGCAATGATATCGATCTTTTCGAGCAATCACTTTTTTCAGTTTTGCATTGTACTTATCTCTTTTGAGTAGAAACCCGTTGGTTGGTGGAAATTGTGCCAAGGTTGGTGCAATGTAATGATATTTAATTATAAAACTTGAATTTAACATTCAAGTTATCGCTGTCTAAAATTTCTCAGTGAAATCAGCAAGCTTAAGTTTATAATGGGTGAAAATGTCTGGTTCATTCAGATTTCTTCTCTTTTTATTATTTTCATCCAAGCACGAGGCACTACTCGATATAACTCCAAATCTAGTTATTTTTTAGACAAAGGGGAAACAATTACGGTCAATTTGTTTGTAAAATCTTATAAGATTTTACAAACAAATTGACGGTTCTTATCTTAGTATAAAGTGTTTGAAGCCTAGTTTAACAGTCGTTTTTATAAACGCAATATTAATGATATTTTGTTGTTTATTCGTGGGCATTCAGGTTTGGGCTCAACTAAGGGCCTGTTTACATGGAGGTGAGGGACCCCAGGTGGTTAAGGTAACCCTCTTAGGTGGGGCAACCCGCCTCTCCATATAGTCTCTTGTTTTAATTTGATTGCGTTTACCCGCCTTGGCGGGTCACCCCACCTCATGTAGCCCGGTATGCCAGACCGCGTAACCCTCTCAGCCGTGGCCAAATTTTGCTATGTAAACGTTTCAAGGTGAGGTAACCCTCCTAGCCGGGTCGGATTCGTGATACATCAAATTCGTGCAAAATTCACTTTGGCGGTGGCTTTGCATCATTATAAGTAACAATAGAAAGCCACAGCACCGAAGGTTCTAGCAAGAGCATCAGGTGAGAGCAGAAGCACATTAATCGTCAAAACGCCTGGTTTGCCAGCATTTTTCTTGTTTACGTGCTCAGCGACCATTCAAAAATCTTGAGAAAGTGCACCCCGGGATGGCTGGGTTGTAAGATTGCATGTAAACGCTGGTTATTTTTTTACCCCACCTAAGCGGTTTACCTCACATGCCTGGGGTCGCCCACCTCCATGTAAACAGGCCCTTATTCCCGAACTGTGGGAGGATAATCGAGTAATTGTGAGTAAAAAACTTACAGGTACAATAGTAAGGAACTTTTTATCTTTGAAAACAATACAAACTTTACAGGTTAAAAAAAGTTTAAGGTTTGTTTTTAGTGTAAAGTGCACTTAGCTTATCCAGTTAGTTTACAGGCACTCCATTCAAATAACTAGAAACAAATAACCCAAATAGAACATAACAGGATTAAAAACCCCAACTAACAGGAGGCAGCCACCAGTTGGCTATTTACAAGCGTGGCCGAAGATTTAAACTCAGGACGACCGAGAACAAAACCCAGCAGGTGACCAGCGCGGGACTCAAACCCTAGACCGCCGGATTACGAGTCTGACACGGTGACCACTCGTTTATGCTGCCTCCTTGAAGCTAGAGCGAGCCATAGAGCAAAAACAGTCTGAATCAGAACAGGGTAGATGATGTGGTTCAAAGTTTTCTTTGCATTGATAATTTTTGAAACAGCTTAAACAGTTTGTCACAATATGAATCAACTTAGTTATGTAAGAAACTACATCACTATGACCACAGGGTCCAGAGGAGTTTCGTGTGAATAAATGAATTACTTACCTTGAAAAATGTCTATACCTGTCGCTTAGCACGATTAATTAGCCCAGTGGGATCTTTATAAATCTACTGTAAACGATTTCTTCGCTTCTTATCTGACCAGGACCGAGATCGACTTTTGAAAATCAACAACCGCAAGCCATATCCTCGCTGGCGCACGGCACGTCGCCCGAAGGGTGACCGAAGGCCGTCGCCCGGAGGGCGACCGAGGTACGAAGTGCCGAGTAAAAGAAAGGACAAGGGAGGAAACTTGTACCACGTGACTTCGTTCTATGTGAACCGCAGCACTCGGTGACGGAAGTCGGAATGAGACCGGAAACGCAAAAGCAACAGACCGCTGCTAATTCGAAAATCAAAACATCAGCTGCGGAGAGAGTTTTAAAGATCTCAGAGATCTATGCGGAAACAACAGAGTTTTAATTGAAGTGAAGACTGAGATCTTTCAAGACTGGACATTTGTTGTACGTTTCAACAGTCTTCGATGTCTTAAGCAGGTTTTGCTTGTGCGAAGGCTTCCCAGTAGTCGCAAAACGTACAGCCAAAGACGCAAGAGGCAATATGGTTGGACCACCGAAGAATGGCACAGTCGTGATGATATTACAGTTGCCTTGTACGCCCGCTCTACTCAGTGTCACTTTTTATTGCAAGAGTACACACGACCCGTAAATCACTATCCGTAATTATTTAACATTCTCCAAACAAAACTAACAAGCTGGGCCCAGCGTGATACAGCATTGAAGAAAAACATTACATTCACGGACTAAAGAAAATCGCTCAGTTATTCAGATCCAGAAGGCACTTTGGAGAAAACTGGAATCCTTGTTCAGCCGTAATAAAAAGCTTTACGCTTCAAAAGAGGTCAAAGAAAATGCGCTTGCATCCGGAGGGCAAATCCTGCCGACCAGAAACAATAACCACAGTAAATCGATATGTGTCATGACCTCTCAGTGTGAAACATGCGGCTAAAATCCCCGCTAAAATCACATTTGCTGTAGAACCTTCCAGAGCATAATCTACCCAGCAGAGGAAAAAAACTTTATTGGAACGAGCAGCATTTTGGCATGAGGCAAAAGTCGTGTAGGCTTCCCTTTTATTGCTCCGATCCTGAACACATTTACTTTACTACGTCATTTCCGTCACCATGTGTTGCGGTGCACACCGAACGAAAGCGCTCTCTAGAAGCTGTAAATTTCGGTCTCCGAAAATGAATTTGAACGCTTTCTTATGCCGTTTTCCTACAGTATTTGGCAAATACATAAGAATTCTAGATCAGGTTAGTAAAATCAGGCGATTTCATTCAATTCCATTTGAGTTTCAGGGTTTCGAAAATCGGCCCCAAATTTGTTTCCTCCCTTTCCGTATTTTATACTGTAAGCCGATCTTGCGAGCCCTCAGTCTCTTGGTTTGCGGTCTATAGAATGTGTAACGAAACCGTAACGCGATCAAAATAATCCATTTTTTCAGAGGTTTTCGACGGGTTTTGATGTTCTAACGACAAACACATCTCCTCTGGACCCTGTGCTATGACTTAGGAAAGGTGTTGACAGTTGAGATAGGGTCAAAAAGCTTCTGAGTAGTGACCCTTTTTCACAACAGAAACAAACATTGTGCATTCATTTCAATTTTTGATTCTATGGATCAGATTCTAAGTAACTGCCCATGTTCTTACTTGCGTTTTTTTTACCTTAGCTTGTCCAAAATGTGAAAATAATCTTTGTTGATGGCCAAGCTTTTATAGATGGTTTTCCAAGTGAAGGTTACGTTTTTCTCCATATAATGATTACTATACTTTACTAAGCACATAGGTCCTGCCAAAAAGAAGATCATCGCCGCAAATAAAACTGATGTCTTGATTTTTCAGCAAATTCTATTCACAATTATCCTAGGGAGACAGCCGTTATTTGCGAACAACATTGCCGAGACTCAGAGTCGTTTATCTTGTTATTCATTGCAAAATCACGTTTGATATTTGAATTTTTGCATAAATTATGAGATCTAAAATGTATCTTGTAAATTTTTTCAGTGAAGCTGATTATGGGCTTCCAGAGGGCAAAATATTTTTTGGGAACGTTTATTGTATGCCCTTTGAAATGAGGTATAGCTTTCTAAGCTAGGGTAAGTAACAGTGGAGATATAATTGTTTTAAAATGTGTGGTCAATTAATTTGCTGTTTGCGCGTCTGTCATAAATGAGTTAAGGGACAGCATCCTTTTGTTTCTTTCACTATTAAAATACCGTAATTTAACAAGTTGAACGTTTTCTATTTATTTTGAGTCTTTTATTGCGGTCGACGAGAGTAGACAGAAGCCTAATTTTTCATTCTGTAGCCTGTGCTAACCGTGTGGGATAAATGCAGTTTGGTGACCATTTCTTCTGTTTCTCCGTTTTCTTTTTTCCATGCAAGAGTCGCAAAGGAACCGAGCATATTTCCCAAATTATGCGATCACCTTGTAAAGTTAATATCTCAAATGAGACATAGTGTGTTTCCACCTCTGTTCAATATGCAAAAGGTTGTTTTCATCAAAGAAAAACAACAAACCTTGCGAGCAATCTCTCCTCCCCTGTTACGAACACTAACTCACCGTCTCAACTGGGCTAGCCTGCGTCGCACACACTCTAGAGTGATTTTACTTGACCCGTGAAATAGATAGTAGAATACTACGCACTATTATGCACTAATTTCATTGTATTCCTTTGTTTGCCTCTTACTATATTCAGCACTACTTATTAGTATCTGTCTCTCGGTTCAAGTAAACAGCTGAAGTAAAATCACTCTAAACAACCTGTATAGCAGTGTGTAGTTGCCGAGTTGTAGCTAGTTGTAGCAAATGAACTATAGTAACAGAGGAAGATCATTCCCAGGATTCTTATCCCTATTCCTCTGGAGCGACAGAGAACGATAAATCAAAAATCAGGATATACTTTTAAAAGAGGAATGTGATACGAAAGAACAGAGCCGATCTCGATCAATTCCCTCCTGCCTTTTCCGGAACATGTGTGACACGTGGCCATGTCCTAATTAAAGATAAATTCTGCACTCTCTTAAACAGTGTTCGGCCTATTTCCTGTAGTTTGATTCAGCGTCCTTTGATTCAACAAATACAAAGGTAATCCTGCCTCAACCTGAGAAAGGATTTTACTGACGTACAACAGCCGCACCAAATTTGTGTTATGTTACCGAATTTTGGCAAAATTAAATCTGACAAATTTTGTCTGTTTAGACTTTCACAAAGCGTGCCTTTTCTCAATCAGTACTAAGCAGAGTAAATTTTAGAGGCTTTGTACGTCATTTCTGAGGCAGCCTGTCCCCTGGTAGGTTTTGTGATACTCAATTTAAAATTTACGGCAGATGTACAGACGGGATATAGAGCCACAAAAGAAAAAATGTTATTTTAAACTTTCTAACTCGGTGGATGAAAAGTGACGCACATGCATTCTCGCGCGGGCCCGAATGGAGAGCTTGAAACCTCACTATCAATTTCCGGAGGCTTAAGTAAATAAGCTTAACCTACATGCAAATTTAACAGATTTTTCATTATTTTGTGGCCGGCAGAAGTAAATATATACTCGGTACGGATTCCAACACTTTCTTTAGCCTCTACTTTTTAAACGCTAAAGACCGTATTCAGCCTGGGTCAGGCTTCTTGTGTAGCAAAAATGCGAAATCTTGCTGTGAAACAGTTTGTCCGTAAATGACGTCTCCAAACTTAATATGACTAGACCAATAACGTAGGAAAAACTGTTCACTTGTTGTCCTTGCATATTTAAGTTTCGGTTGCAAGCTCACATCCGCCTCCGGATGGCCTTGGATGTTACGTCACAAGCGCGAAAAATTCTCGTCCGCATTTTTCTACCACCCGAGCCTCGATATTGACTTCAGCCACGTAGCACCTTTTTGAGGAGGATAGACAAACGGGTGTTTTCTGTTTTGAAGACTGAAAGTTCCTCTAAAATGAAATCATCACCAGCGGTTACCCCTCGTACCAGCATACGTTTCGTGGCTGTGTCAGTGTGATGTTCTGTGCTATTCTGGTTAACATTTTTGCACTTGACGAAAAACTAGCGCGCAAACCGCGAGAAGAAGATCGCGTATCTACTGAAGGCACTGAAGTTGGTGGAAAACAATCGCAGTTGTACCGTGATCGAAGAACTGTGAAAAATAACGCGACCTCCAACCTGTTGGACTTTGCAAACCGGCTGAAAGATCTTGAAGAAAGGTATGATCTTAACTCGGCGATTCGCTATCTCATTTTGAGTGCCACGTTTTCTATCACCTGGGCAATGTTCAATGTCGGTTACGTGCCACTATTGTAAACTCAAACTACTAAGAAAATGGTGGATTGACTGACATAATTTCCCTTTTTCTTACTAAGGCACAACAAGAGCGTACGTATGATGATCAGACAATTTCAAGAGTTGGAGAAAAGGTTTGAGAAATCAAAATTTAATGCATCATTCCTATTTGCTATTTATAAAAACTAACAATTAACTACTTCTGAATTTGTTACTACCTATTAAGTGTTGCATAGCAAACCCGTTTGACTTCTTGTCTGGCGAAGTAATGTTACTTTGGTATGGCAACAAGACAGATCAACTATTTCAAAAAAAATAAGGGCGACTCTTGGGGTAGAGAACTCGGGGGAAGTGCCGAGAAAGTCCCTGTTATCCAGGCCGGTCACGTATTTTGGACGGCACTGGTTGATGTGCAGTGGAAGACTTGTGTGGGAAAGTTTCATCCAAAATCCGCTTAACATCGTTCAGTGTGGTGACCAGAGTATGGTTGATTATCTTTTATCTTTTAGATCTAAACTGACTTGATGACAGACTTAATTCACATCATCGACGCAATTATTTCCTAGAGCAAAATAAGCGTAATAAACAGCTGTAAACAGCAATGAAAGAAAACATCACTTAACACAGGGGCGCCCCAACGGCTGTTTAAACTTTAAGATATCAGCTGTTCGAAGAAGCAAATATTGCCTCAAATTTTCAATTTGATGAGGACGGCCTAAAATTTCTAGATAACCATTCCACTAACGAACAATTTTTGAAGTTTATCTAATAAATTCCCTACGATTTTCTAAAGTTTAACTTTTCACATTTCACTCCTCAGGTTAGGCTATTTTTCGTAAAAAGGAAACCTAAAATTTTGGATTCAAAAATGTGATGGAGAGCCTGAGAGGAATCAGAAAAATTCTCAGTTTCGTACTAATACGTTTAATTGCATCTACCGATTTTCAGGAAAATAATACTGAGGCTCTTGTATTTTCGGAAACTCTTAAGTTGCCTAGGATGACCGAACAGATACATATTTTATCGCCGCTTAAAACGCATGTACTCAGGATAGGCTAAAAAGTGTTTTCAATGCATTTAGGAGGAAGCCGTCGTTGGGTGCCCCTGTTTCAAATGTGCCCCAAATTTCTTAAAAAGTTAAAATCAATCCGAATTTATCCTGAATTGGTAGCTGAACTTGGGCTTTAAGGCTATTTTCGTACTAAATACCGGGAAACTTGTCGTGTCGACACGAAAAGCTGTTTAGTTCACACGCATCGAATCGGTTGTACGAGGGGGTTTGGTGAACAAAATCCCAGTTCCCTGTCTCAATAGATTCCAGTCCTCGCTCCTACTTTTTCACCTTCGCACAGAGTGTGGCACACGACCTTTTCGATATGCTAACAGATCGGTACAGCGTAGCCTCGTTCCGTTGTAGAAACAGGCCCTTTGCAGCTAGCCATTCACGTGGTACAAAACCGCCATGCTGGAGAGCAAAAGTCGCACTGAGACAAGACAAATAAACTGGGGCATACATAATTTTGGTAAATGGTAATTTCCTTTGTTTGTCTTGTTCCAGTTCTCCAGCATGGCGGTTTTGTACCACGTGAATGGCTAGCTGCAAAGGGCCTATTGCGCCGAAAGCACTGTTCTTATATGTGAACAGAAGCCCTATCCAGTATGGCTTTCGTGCCGGCACAAGATCGGTATCCGGTAGAGTGTGAACATGGCTTAAGTCAGGGCGAAAGTCCTTGTTTAAAACACTGTCTCTGAGATTTTTTTATGGTTGATCTTTTTTTCAGACTTGATGGCTTACTGCGATTATCGCCTCGACCAGCAGGGGAATCCTACGTGTCACTTTTGAGCTACCTTCTTGGTAAAATATGATTTTCAATCCAATCCAAAATTTCGTGAAGGCAACTAGCGGATTTTATCTGCATAGGCAAAATGATATCAGGTTGTTAGTCCGAAAACATCAGTCTTAGATATTAAGAGATTTTTGAGCATTAAATTTGATTGTTATAGAATATGTAATCTAATATGTGGCTAAAAATCGGTATTTAGGTTAATCCATTTGGCTGGTAAGTATGCTGTGATTTATGGGTGATATCACCGGTTTGTATCTATTTCAGGTCAGCATATGCAAAACCCTGGAAAGGGACGAGTTGGACCACCCGGCCCTCCAGGGAAACAAGGGCCAGCTGGACCAAAAGGATCAAAAGGTATACTCGGAAGTAGTCTCCTTCGCAGCCGTTATTAGGGTCGTCACTCGTCACGCAACGCTCCTCCCCACTGGAGCGTTGCGTGACGAGTGACGACCCTAATAACGGCTGCGAAGGAGACTAACTCGGAAGGGAAAACAACAAAGACCGATATGAAGGGAAAAACGAAAATTGTAAAACGCCAACTGTGAACGCAGGGAGGGAGAGGGAGAAAATGAAGCTCGTTTTGTAATTTCAGTTTGTATGTTCCAGTAATGTGGACTGTAAGAGCCCCAGAGGAAAAAAACACTTAAATAAGTGAAAATGTTGGGATCGAGCGCTTAGAGCCATTTTATACTTTGCAGGGGAACAAGGAAAACCAGGAACCAACAAGCCATCCCCAGGCCCTCCTGGTCCTAAAGGAGACCAGGGAGCAGTTGGGAAGACTGGAGCCCAGGGACTACAAGGTGAAAAAAGAGAAAAGGGACAGGATGGAGTTGGGACATCAGGAGTGAAGTACGTTCGCTGGGGAAGGACCACATGTCCTAGTGGTGCGCAGATAGTTTATAAAGGTAAGCGAAGGTATCTTACATAATAGTTACTATTGCTGCCATGATTCTAAAGACAAAAAGAGTGATAAACTGAAGATTTTTATGCCAAGTGTTAATCATTATTTTAAAGTGACAACTATGAAACTTCTCGAAGCTTGTTACATTTACAGGTCAATAACGCGGGATCTCTTTTTTTGATAAGTTATCTTTTTGTTCTATCTTTCCAGCATATTATATGACTTTTGAAATTGTAGGCGCTTGTTAGTTAGTATTTTAATAGCTTAGTCTCCACCATTGTAATTTTTGATATGTTTTTAATTTTATCAAATGAATAAATACATTATTATTATTATTATTATTATTATTACCATATTATTATTATTATCATTATTGTTATTATTATTATTATAATATGGGATGTACATAGAAATTTTCCTTTTTTAGTTTATAGACAGTTGTTTACATTTGCTCTGTTGAAAACCACCGGACCACCAAGAAGTCTTTTTTAACTATAGTTATACTAAATTTGTATTTAATTTTCAATTTGAGAAGAGTTTAATAAAGTATGTTATTATTATTATTATTATTATTATTATTATTATTATTATTATTATTATTATTAACAATTCAGTGACTGACTCGTGCGTAAGACAGACGAAATCTGGTTATGAGATAATGCCCCTTGTTTTACCCAAAATTGCAGGCTGTCATTGGTTACGTCGAGGTCACATGAAACTGTAACCAGCAGAAAGTTAATTTTGGGGCAGGCAATATTGCAAAATTCTGTCATCGATCAGACCCTGAACAGCGGAATTGTCACCCACGAATCATAAATAATTACCTCTTGCTGAGATTTAGTTCCATAAATTTAGTCCTTTCTATGTTTGAGTGATCAATAGAAATACATGAAAACGGCAAAAAAGAAAGAATATTATAATTCTAGAGTACTGTATTACAGCCCTTTGTGGTCCTTTGTAGTCTTGGCCTTTTAAACAATCTGATTAGTTCTGATTAGTTCGCTATCTCAGACTATCTAGCAATATTCACCTCTAGGCTATAGCGATATTGCGTGAGCTATGTGTTTCGCCACTTTATAGAGTAAGAACTTGTCAACAAAATCCTAGGATTGATGTTTTTGAAGGTAAGAAAAGATGGCGATATCAAACTTTTTTAACAGCTTTTTCAGATTTCAAACTAAGCAGAATTGTTCTCCTTTGCAAAAACAGTTTACTCGAGTAGAAGAGGCCACTTTGTGACCTCAGCATTTCCTAATAAGAGGAAGTTTGCCTAAACATTAAAGTTTATTTATGACAAAAGAGAATGAAAGCAAAGGTTCGCGAAAATTCCTCATTCCAGGAATACTACAGAGAAAAGACGGCCCACCTCCCTCAACCGAGCCGCCATTTCATACACTTGCGAAGAACAAAACAAGAAACCTTTTCATTAACTTGGCGAATTGACTGACAGAAGGAATCAAAACACTCACAAGTCGATTTCAAAAATAATTGTTGATAATTTTTTTTCCTTCTATCAGGTATAATGGGTGGAGAATACTACAATCACCCTGGTGGTGGAGGGAACTACCTTTGCCTTCCACACAATCCAAAGTATGACCAGTACGAAGATGGCCATCAAAACGCCGGATACATGTACGGCACTGAATATCAAGTAAGTGATCGCAACGGAAACCCTTTTAAGAAAAATCTCCATGATCATGAAGCACCATGCGTTGTCTGCTTCGTCAAGTCACGTGGCTCGATGCTGATGATGCCTGGCAGAAATGACTGTCCATCTGGATGGACCGAAGAGTATCATGGGTACCTGATGACAGAACATTATAACCATAAGCATTCACGTGACTTCATCTGTGTTGACGAGGATCCAGAGTATGTTTCTGGAAGCCATGCAAACCAGAATGGTGCTTTGCTGTACCCTGTGGAAGGTGTTTGCGGCTCACTTCCGTGTCTTCCTTATGTCAATGGGCGAGAGTTGACATGCGCTGTGTGCACCAAGTGACGGGACGATACCTTCCACTGCGGGCATGGCTACCATGTCGATGACCTATGAAAACCAAAAAATAATAGTTAAATCAGTATATACTTTTAACCAGTCTTAAACACACTGCGTTACATATATTATCTGGTCTACTAGCACTAAAGCGCCAGAAAGGTTCGCGATAAATTAATACGCGGATGTAAGCAATAACAATTAAAATAAGGTGAAAACATTGACAGAAAAATATGTTTCTTTACTTCGTTTTTCAACCTATTCCAAGCCGAAATCAGTAAAAATTCCTTGTCAGCCAGCAAGTAGCAAAGCCAATCTTTGATGGCCCGTGTAAACTTTAAATAAGCTCGCCTAACAGGCATTATGTGGCGTTGACGAGATAAAGGCGCGCAGCTCGTGGCAAGGGGACACCAATTCTCAGGGAATCTGTCCGTCTGATCTGTCTTCTGATCTGCTTATAAGGCGTCTGGGCGCTGCCTGTGAACTGTGATCCCAGGTTTGTCGAGTACACTTCACACTGCGCTCGCAATTTACGCGCATGATCAATATATTTGATTGCACCTGGTAGGTTGACCGCGAGCGGGCCACGCGCAACGAGTGAAAAAGTAAAATTACTGTGATTCAAAAGAAAAAAAAGAGACTGCTCGCAGTCTACCTGGTAGGGGACGGGACGGCGAATTTTGTAAAAACAGATTATCAAATTGTTTTCAGGCGAGCGCTTGCAATGGCTACTGAATGGAAGAACAGCTAACAAATGCGAGATTATATCACTATATTTTTAGCACATTAAGCCCTGACAGTGATGAACAACAAATTAAAGTTCTCCTTGGAATACCAATTTTTTAACACATTGGTGACGAGAATAAAGGACATGATCAAAAACAATAAATCTAATTAAAACTTCAACAAATCCTCCCACTCATAACAACAACTTTTATTTAAACACATGCAGTTAAAATTGAAGCTAATACAGTTTATGGGGCCTTGTACATATTAATTAAAAACTTGCTAATGAAAATAAATAATTGTAATTAAAAAAACTATACCTAAAAAGTAAAAAAGTACTCAATTCTTGTGTTATCAAAAAAATATAAATGTATCAATATTATTATATTGATTATTAGTCAATGAAAGACGAAATTACTGTCATTGAACATATTCATTGCAAGGGGTAATTCAGCTGAGAAATTGAGATTTTTGAGGGCTTGAGAGTTTATGACCATTTTAGCGTAGGCTCTTGTGTCAGCCACGGAGGGATCTAACAAGTTCCAAGCATGGGATCCTCTGTACGAGATGGAGTTCTTCATGCTGTACGTTTTGAAACACGAAACACTTACGCGATGGTGATGACACAAGTCGTACTTGTTCTTTCGCCTCTGGATTAGATGTTCTACGCATGACGGAGTTATGCGATTAAATATTTTATAAAGTAAAGTGGCTATCTTGGCCTTTGTTCATGTCAAATAACGAGTCCCACTTGACTGATTTTCGAACGTCTACAGAGGGTAGGTCTTGGGACAGGTTATATATGACTCAAGCAACTCTGCTATGTATAGATTCCAAAGCATTGAATTCATTCTTATTGGTGGCACACCCCCAATTGATAGCGCAATACCGCTTATTAGTAGCGTACGACCACTTATTCTATAGAAAACGTGTAGGGACAACAAATGGATAAAGTATGGAATATTTTTTGAAGGATAGCTACCATACTTTACTTTGGAGATTGGAATCGGCGTTTTCTCCAGTCATCGCATTGAAATTAAAAAAAAACGCAAACTTGTGCCCAGTTTATTACTCGCCCCGCGCCAGTCCCTTCTCGTTTTCCGAAGCCATGGGGTTCCATCGAGCATCAAATTCTTCAGTTTTGCACTGTTTAAGTTATCTCGTTTTAGAAGTAACCCTTTGGTCGATGGAAATTGCCCCAAGGTCAGTGAAATGAAAGGAATTTTACATGAAACATGAATTCAGTTTACATTCAAGTTATAATTAAATTGCTCTCTGAAATTTCTAAGCCAAAGCAGGGCTGCAAGCTTTGTGAGGTGAATGTTATCGGTAAAAATGTCTGGTTTATTCAGATTTCTTCTCTTTTACTATTTTCACTCAACTTGAGGCACTACTCGATAACTTCAAGTCTAATTATTTTTTAGACAAAGGGGAAACAATCGAGGTAAGATTTTACAAACAAATTGACAGTTCTTAGTATAAAGTGTTTGGGGCCTAGTTCATCAACTAGTCGTTAAAGTTTCTATAAACTCAAGATTAAATGATATCTTTTCGTTTTTTTCGTGGGCATTCAGGTTTGGGTTCAACTTATTCCTGAACCATGGGAGGATAACCGTGTAACCGTGAGTATAAAACTTTCAGATACAATAGAAAGGGACTTTTATAGTTAGTGGAAAACAACATAAACTTTTCAGCTTGAGCGAGCCAAAGCGAAAACAGTCTGAATCAGAACTGTGTCGATGTTGTGGTTCAAAGTTTTCTGTGCTTTGATAATTTTCAAAACAGCTTAAAGTTTGTCATAATATGAATCAGCTAACTTCATACTTAGGAAGGGCAGGTGGGCAGATGTTTACCAGAACTTTTTAGTACTGATACACTTTTACTTAGATCGATTGTGGTCATCAATTTAAAGGAAAGGAAGGAAAAATAACAGCTGATTGAAAAATGTTACATGCCAAGGTAAAATTGAGCTCAGGCAGAAAATTATTTTTCAAGTGGAGAAATATACTGTGGTCGGGGGTTGAGTATGAAAATAATGTGAAGCATTGTCAGTCCCAAGCACTGATGTTGTTTATTAATTATTTCAACGGCAAAGATGTTTTTGCATGTACCAATTAACTATTCGGGTTGTGAATTCTAAATCATTCTTAATAATATAGAACACCCTTAAGTTCTAAACATTGCATTCTTGACTTTCAAGACATGAATTTAGATGTTAGAGCTGCAGATTCCAACTTGAATCAGGCAGAAGTTTGAGATAATAATTCTGGCAGGCATTAAAGTAAGCAAGGTTTTATTCCTCTAGATCAAAAACTTGACAGTCCCTCAAAGACTTTTGTCATCTGTTATGAAACCAATTGTCTTTCTCTATATCCTCTACCAGTAAAGAAGATAAATTTGTCTGTCATTAGCATATACATACTTTGTTAATTAATTTCAGGGCAGCCTTTCAAATTCTAATCTGCTACACAGCCGTTTTTAGTTTTTTTTTAGTGTTTTTAGTGGGGAGAAGCGTTGCGTGACGACTCTAAAAACGGCTGTGTAGCAGACTACTGAAATACTGAGTATCTAACATTCAACTTGAGGAGCTGGGAAACATCTTTAAAAAAAAAACAAGGAACAGGAGTTATCTCTAGAAATGTTGTAAGTTAAAGTAAAAAATATTTATATGGCAATTCATAATAATATTGTTATTGTTGTTGGATTACATAACTCGCCGTCCCAACTAGGCTAGCCTGCGTCGTAGGACACTCTAAACCGCCTGGATAACTAACAGTTTGTATATAGGGTGTAGTTGCCGAGTTGTACTCAATTGATTATAGTAACAGAGGAAGAACATTTCCAGGATTTTAATCCCCAGTCCCCCGAACAGACAGAGAACGAAAAATCAAAAATATACTTGAGAGGAATATGATTTATACGAAAGAACAGAGCCGATCTTGATCAATTCCCTCCTGCCTTTGGGCATGACACGTGGCCATGTCCTTCAAAGGTAAATTCTGCTGTTAGTAATCAACCTAGTTTCTGTAGTTTGATTCAGGTTCCTTTAATTCAGCAAATACAGGGAATCCTGCTTCAACCCAAGGAAGTATTTTACCTACGACAGCCGCACCAAAGTTGTGTCATCTCAGAGTCAGATCAGAGTAAATTTTAGATCCGTTTACAAACAAAAGAACTCGGACTCATTAATACTCGTTCAAAGCTGTGTTAATTGAATGATTTTCTTTGTAAGCGAGATGAATCATGTCAATGACTGTGTTTAAGCAATAAGCTCTCTCTCTCTGGGGTAAATCATGAAAGAGCCCTTCAAAGGGGGGAATTCTCTGGCTTTGTTTGTTTACTGAGGCTGCCTGCTGTCGCCTTGTAGGTTAGGAAAAAATATCGCTGTCGCGGAAAGTCGCTGTCGATTGGCATAAATTTCTGTGATACTCAATTTCAGATTTACGGCAGATATGCAAAAGTCAGGATAAAGTTATAAACTTTCTCCCGCGGTGAATGTAAGTTACGGACATATATTCTCGCGCGGGCCCGAATGGAGAGCTTGAAACCTCACTATCAAAAAAATTTCCGGAGGCTCAAATAAATAAGCTTAACATGCAAATTTAGTAACAGATTTTACATTATATAGTGGCCGGCAGAAGTAAAGATATACTCGGTACGGATTCCAATACTTAACTTAACCTCCACTTTTAACGCTACCGACCGGATTCAGATTGCGTCAAGCTTCTTGTGTAACAAAAATGCTTAATCTTGTTATGAAACACTGAGTTTGTCCGTAAGTGCCGTCTACAAACTTAATATGACTATACCGATACTATAGTAGACTTTTTACTTATTGTCCTTGCATATTTAAGACTGTTGCAAGATCACATCCGCCTTCCGATGGCCTTAGATGTTACGTCACAAGCGCGAAAAATTTCTCGTTCGAATTTTTGTACCTTCCGAGCTTCGATATTGACTTCACGTAACACCTTTTTGTGGAGGATAGACAAAAGGTTGTTTTCTGTTTCAAAAGATCTTTACTTTAAAATGAAATTGTCTTCAGCGGTTACACCTCGCTCGACCGTACGTTTCTTGGCTGTGACAGTGATGTTCTTTGCTGGTCTGGTTCATATCCTCGCTCTTGATGATCAACTGGCGCGCAAACCGCGAGGAGAAGATCGCGTATCTACTGAAGGCACTGAAGTTGGTGGACAACAATCGCTGCTGTACCGTGATCGAAGAACGGTGAAAAATAACCGAACTCCCAATCTGGCGGACTTTGCAAACCGGCTGAAAGATCTCGAAGAAAGGTAGCAAAAGGTATTATGTTAGCTCGGCGATTTGCTATCTCATTTTGAGAACTCAGTTAATTCGAGGCCAGGGGAACATTCTATTAGACACTGTTCATCGGTGACGATGCTCGATCACACTGTTTGTAAAATGATGGATTTACTAACCTCATTTACTCTTCTTTGCCAAGCCACAACAAGAGCATACGTTTGTCTCGAATGATGATTAGACGATTTCATGAACTGGAGAGAAGGTTTGAGAAATGAAATTAAAGATTCACCTTTGTTAACATAATTGCTTTTTTAAACTAAGTATACTTCGATTCTGAAATTGTCATTGCATACTGGGGGAAATCTGTTCAATCTCTTGTTTAACGAAGCATGTGCTTTTGGCAACATGGCAAATCCCCTCTTTCCTAAAATGTGTAACGGCGACTCCTGAGATCAGGAAGGGGGATATTATAAGCCTTTAAAACAGTTTCAAAACTGTGCATAGGCTTGGGTCTCCTATTATAAAAGTACCTGGATACCCCCTCTAAACAGGAAAACGCTTTTTGTTGGCCGGCGCTGATGAATGTTGAAGACTTGCAGCCCGCTTGTGTGAGAAGATCAGTTTTCAGATCCAGAATAGAATATCCTTCAGTGTAAAGACCAGAGTAATTGTTGATTATCTATAAACTGACTTGATGACAGTTTTTTTAGTTTTTTCCTTTCATCCACGCACTAATTTCCTAGAGCAGAAGAAGCGTAGCAAACACCACGAAAATATAACAACGCTTGACTCTTGTAAAGTTAAATTCAAGCTGCATTAAGGCCCAACTGGTAGTTGAACTAGGGCTAAAGACACGAAGGTCCCCGTTAAACTATCCCTGACAATTTCTATCTTTGACTCTTTTTTGCAGATTTGATGGCTTACTGCGATTATCTCCCCGACCAGCGGGGGAATCTTACGGGTCACTTTTGACCTACATTCTTGGTAAAATATGTTGTTCAATCCTATTGCAAACTAGTACGAAACTACCTATCGGGAACTAGCGAGTTTCATTAATATCAGTAGTTAACATGAACAGCCGGAAATATTCAATTCAGGTGTTTTGCCCTAAAGTTCTTTTAAAAACTTAAAATAAGCGATTTTATGTTGTCGGTGATTTAGTGTTTTAGAATTCGTAAGCAACAATGTGACCCAAGAACCGGTATGTAATTCATTTGGCTGGTGAATTTGCTTTATTTGTGAGTGGCAACACCCAACCTCTTTCCCAGGGCTTTTTCCTTAAAAAAAAAAAAGAGAAAAAAAAATTGGTGGAGTTGGGGAGGGGGGCACTTTCTAAGCGAAAAAGCATCGGCAATGGGGTTTTGACATCAGCGTGTTTCTTTTTCAGGGCAACATATGCAGAACTCCGGAAAGGGACGAGTTGGACCACCTGGCCCTCCTGGAAAACAGGGACCGGCTGGTGCTCCTGGGAAACAGGGACCGACTGGTGCTCCTGGGAAACGGGGACCGGTTGGTATTCCTGGGAAACAGGGACCTGCTGGTACTCCTGGGAAACCAGGACCAATTGGACCAAAAGGATCAAAAGGTATCAAGGAAAAACGACATAGAGATCAAGGGAAAAACTAAAGCTTTTATAACACCAACTGTGAATGTAGGAAAAAGAGCAAAAGAAACTCCTCTTTTAACATACCAATATTTACATGTTAGCCACCTGGTTAGCTGTAAACAATAAGTTCCATTAATCGAATTTCAGCTAACATCTTGTTTCTTTTTTATGGTGTTTTTGGGTCTTTTGCAAGCCGGCCATTTTTCAACCGTTATATGCGTGATTTATGATCGTCGGAATCCCGTAGGAAAAAATAGTCTCATGACAGCTCCAATTTTGAGCCAAATGACATAATAAGTCGAGATTGAGTGCTACGGGTCTTTTTATACTTTGTAGGAGAACAGGGAAAACAAGGAACCAACAAGTCATTCCCAGGCCCTCCTGGACCTAAAGGAGACCAGGGAGCAGTTGGAAGGACTGGAGCCCAGGGACCACAGGGTGCAAAAGGAGAAAAGGGACAGGATGGAGCTGGAAATTCAGGGGTGAAGTACGTTCGCTGGGGAAGAACCACATGTCCTAGTGGTGCGCAGATAGTTTATAAAGGTATGCGAAAAGAAGCTTACATGATAGTTACTATTATGCCATGATTCTAAATACAGAAATTGTGATAGGCTGAGGATTTTTATGCCACTAATTAATCATATTTAAAAGTGGCAACTAAGAAATTTCTCTAAGCTTGTTACTTTTCCTGGTCAATGACCCGGGCATCTCTTTTTATCTTTTTGTTGCATATCTTTCCAGCAGTGTAACTGGTTCGTGCATAAGACAGAGTGAAATCTGGGTATGAGAGAGAAAGAGAGAGAGAAAACGCCTCTTGTTTTTTCCAACAATGCGCGCGCTCTCACGGCATTGTTTACGTCGAGGTCACATGAAACTATATCCCGCATAAAGTATTTTTTACAGTCTATGTCGATCGGATCCATGAACATTGAATAATCTCCCATGAAGCATAAATGATTACCGCTTGCTGAAACGTATTTTCATAAATTTGTAGTCAAGTACGCTTTTCTTTTTAGTGATCAATAGAAATAGGCAGACAATGTGTAGAGTATTGTATTAAATTTTTGCCTAAAAATGTTACAACCATTTGTGGTTTGTGGTCTTAGTGTTTAAGCGATCTGATTAGTTTTTTTTCTTTGACAATCCAGCAATTTTCACCTCCTAGCGATATTGCGTGAACTAGGTGTTTTGCCAATTTTCTGAATAAGAACTAATCAACAGAATCCTAGGGTTAATGTTTTTGAAGGTAAGAAAGAATTTCAAATTGTTTTAACTGCGTTTTCCGATTTACTTTGGCAGAATGTTTTTCGCTTGCAATATCAGCTCACCCTCGAGTAAATGAGGCCATTTTGTTAACTCAGCATTTCCTAACAAGAGGAATTCAGTTGCCTAGAAATCAACGTTAATTTTTGACCAAAGAAAATGAAAGCAAGTCTTTGCGAAAATTCTTCATTTCAAATAACTAGGACAGAGAAAAGACGCCTTGCCTAGGCCTCCCTCAACCGCTAGCGGCCATTTCATTCACTTGCGAAGAGCGGAAAAGGAAGGCTTTTAATTAACTTGGCGAGTTGACAGAATTTCCAAGAATAATTGTTGATAAATTTTTTTCCTTGTATCAGGTATAATTGGTGGAGAATACTACAATCAGCCAGGTGGTGGAGCGAACTACCTTTGCCTTCCACACAATCCAAAGTATGACAAGTACAAAAATGGCCATCAGAACTCCGGATACGTGTACGGTACTGAATATGATTTGAGTCGGTACAAGTACAGCGGTAACCCTTTTAAGAGAAATCTCCACGATCATGAAGCACCATGTGTTGTCTGCTTCGTCAAGTCACGTGGCTCGATGCTGATGATGCCTGCCAGGAATGATTGTCCATCTGGATGGACCGAGGAGTATCATGGGTACCTAATGACAGAATTTCATGGCCACAAGCATTCAAGTGATTTCATCTGTGTTGACGAGGATCCGGAATATGTTCCTGGTAGCAATGCAAACAAGAATGGTGCATTGCTGCAACTTGTGGAAGGTGTTTGTGGCTCACTCCCATGTCTTCCTTATGTCAGCGGTCGAGAGTTGACATGCGCTGTGTGCACCAAATGACGGGAAGATACCTTTCACAGTGGCATGGGTACCATGCCAATGAGCTACGAAAACCAAATAATAATGGTTAAATCAGTATATACTTTAAACTAGACTTAAGCCACACTACGTTATCTGGTCTGCTAGCACTAATATAAGGCGCCAGAAAAGTTCGCTGTAGATTAATACGGGATGTAATTAATAACAATTAAAATAAGGTGAAAACATTGATATAAAATTGTGTTTCTTTACTTCGTTTTTCAACCGATTCCAAGAAATCGGTACAAAGGCCCTGGCTGCCAGCAAGTAGCAAAGCTAATCTTCGACGGCCCACGTAAAATGTTAAACAAGTTCCTGTTTTCTGAGTCCATGAAAGTCATGAAAGGAACAGATTGCAGCTCGTCTGACAAGCGTTATTTGGCGTTGACGAGATAAAAGCGCAAAGAGCGAGGTAAGGGGACACGAATTCTCGGGCAATTTGTCAGTTTGATTTGTCTTCATAAAGCCTTTAAGGCGTCTGCGCGCTGCCTGTGAACTGTGATCCCTGGTTTGTCGATTACACACTGCGCTCGCAATTTACGCGCATGATCAATATATTTGATTGCACCTGGTAGGTAGAGCGCGAGCGGTGGACCTTCTTTCCTCAGGTCCATGCGTGGCGAGTGAAAAAGTAACATTACTGTGATTTAAAAGAAAAATAAGAGACTGTTCGCAGTATATCTGGTAAGGGACGGGACGGCGAATTTTGTATAAAGAGATTATCAAGTTGTTGTCCGGCGAGCTCTTGCGATGGCTACTCAATGGAAGAACAGCTAACAAATGCCAGATTATATCACTGTACTTTTAACCCATTAATCCCTGAGGGTGATAAGCAACAAATTTCTCCTTGGAATCAGGAGCGGACGGAGGATTTTGTGATAGATGGGGCCTAGAGATATAGTATACAGTGGCAAAGTGGGCGCGAAATAGCGCCCATCAGAACTGTGAACCGCGCACTTTTCTACGGAGTTTCGGGCGCACGCTCTTCCGGGAATATTTTTGAGATTGATCAAGTTCTCTGAGATGCAATCTAGTGCATTCTGGACGCTTGAATTTAGCAAATGCCTGGATTCCATATTGAACATGTAATGCTGAAATATTCAATAAACCACAGGTGTGGTTGTGGTCAAAGAAGTAATAAACACTTTTTATGATGCTAGCAGGGCCCGAAGCGATTGCGGCGAGAGCACAACCTCCCGGAAAAGGCGGCAACATCGTCTCCCTGAAAAAACTGTCAGATCCAGTTTGTTTGAGGTAGTCATTGGTCATTTGCGACTAAAATTGTAGGCTTCGAACACAGATTCTTTTCTTATTTACAATGTTTATTAAAGAAAATATATTTTAAGTAACAAAGCTCAAAGTACCATCCGACACACGTTTATTAAAGAAAAAAATTACCGGACACAAAGGAGGGGGGGAGGGGTCGACCCCCTGGGCCCACCCCTTAATCCGCCCGTGGTGATAACAATGTTTTACACATTGGTGACAAGAATTAAGGACATGGTTAAACACAATAAAACTAATCAAAACTTCAACAACAACTCTTACTTAAACAGAGTTAAAATTAAAGCTAATACAACCGATGGGGCCGTGTACATTTTAATTAAAAGATGCTAACGAAAATACATAAACCTAAGAAGTAAACATATACCTAAAAAGTAAAAAATACTAAAATACTTTTGCTATTCAAACAATATAAATACATCAGTAGTATTAAATTGATTCCTAGTCAATAAAAGACGAAATCACTGTCATTTGACATACTTATTTGGAGTGATTCAGCTGAGAAATTGAGATTTTTGAGGGCTTGAGAGTTTATGGCAATTTTAGCGTAGGCTCTTGTGTCAGCCACAGAGGGATCTAACAAGTTCCAAGTAATGGATCCTCTGCACGAGAAGGAGTTCTTCATGTGGAACGGTTCGAAACACGGAACACTCACGCGAAAAAGATGACACAAGTCGTACTTGTTCTGTCGCTTCTGGATTAGACGTTCTGAAGCAGGATGGAGTTATGCGATTAAATATTTTATAAATTAAAGTGGCTATCTTGGCCTTGTACATATCAAATAACGAGTCCCACTTGACTGATTTTCGAACGTCTTCAGAGGGTAAGTAACGGAGCAGTTTATATTTATGACTCTAGCAGCTCTGCAGTAATGTTATAGATTCCAAAACATTTTTTAAAACATTCTTTTTATTGGTGACACTCCCCAAAATTGGTAGCGCAAGACCGCTTATTTGTAGCGTAAGACCACTTATGCTATAGAAAACTTGTAGGGACAACAAAATGGATAAATTGTGGAATATTTTTTGAAGGATAGCTACCATACTTTACTTTGCAGTTTGGGATTTGTTGGGATCTGCGTTTTCTCCATGAAAGATTTACACAAACTTGTCCCCAGTTTACTACTCGCCCAGTGCGAATCCCTTCTCGTTTTGGGAAGCCATGATGTTCCATCGAGCAATCATGTCCTTCAGTTTTGCACTGTTAAACTTATCTCCTTTTAGCAGTAGCCCTTTGGTCGGTGGAAATTGTCCCAAGGTTAGTGAAATGAAAGGAAATTTTACATGAAACATGAATTTTACATTCAAGTTATACATTACTCTCTGAACTTATATTTCTAAGTTAAATTATCAAGCTTTGTGAGGTTACTGTGCTTTTCACAAACATGCGAACTCTAAAGTTCAAAAGTTTTGTAAAAAGTAAAAAGTAAAGTTTTGTTTCCGAAGAGGTCCGTTAAGATGATTGACGGCAGCAAAAACCGCGATCGTCAGTTGGCTTTTGATTCAGAATTCGCATGTTTGTGAAAAGTGCAGTAATGTTATCGGTAAAAATGTCTGGTTTATTCAGATTTCTTCTCTTTTACTATTTTCACTCAACTCGAGGCACTACTCGATAACTTCAAGTCTAATTACTTTTTAGACATAGGGGAAACAATTGAGGTAAGATTTTACAAACAAATTGACGGTTCTCAGTATATAGTGCTTGGAGCCTGGTTTATAACAGTCGTTAAAGTTTTTATAAACTCAAGATTAAATTATATCTTTTCGTTTTTTTTCGGGGGGGGGGGGGGGGCTTTATTTTTATTTTTTCCCCTATCCCGGAGCCTATATAAAAAATTTCAAATTTAATTTTTTTTTAAGAATAGGGAAACAATGGTAGGTAATATTTTAAAAAAAAATTTGGTGTTTTTGTTATTTTGTGTTTGGGGTTTTTTTTTAAAAGTGTTTTAATTTTTTTTAAAATTCAAAATTAAATTTTTTTTTTTTTTTTTTTTTGGGGGGGGGGGGGGGCGCATTCAGGTTTGGGCTCAACTTATTCCTGAACCATGAGAGGATAACCGTGTAATTGTGAGTATAAAACTTTCAGATACAATAGAAAGGGACTTTTATAGCTAGTGGAAAACAACATAAACTTTTCAGCTTGAGGGAGTCAAAGTGAATACACAGGGCTTCTGATATTTCGCTCGGTCGCGGAGCCGGGAAATCCCGCGAAATTCGGTAGAAATCTTATCAAATACATGTCTGTACAACATATTTGAAACTTATTTCAGCTATTGGGGCTATTTACTTGCCGTAAACTTGCAAATTTATCTTGGACCTTCGTCACTGAATCGTGCAAACAACGTCCCGAAACTACCAGGCCTAGATTATGTTGCGAAAAACTGGGCACTAGCTATGATGTTGAAGGCTTTGCCTATTGGTTCATTTCTTTGAAGCGCATTGTTGTTAAACGTTAAAAACGCTGGTCTGATCAGCGCAAAACCGATTGATTTCTAGCGAAATTTGCCTTGAAAGTAACCACAAAATCGGCCGTTTTTTACCGATTGCTTTTTGGGGAAATTTTTTTCGAAATTACCGCGAGATCGGCCGACTTTTCCGCAAATTTGTCCCCAAAAATCCCTCTAAATTTGACTTTTTCTTCCGCGACCTGTCAGAAGCCCTGGAATACAGACTGAATCAGAACTCTGTCGATGTTGTGGTTCAAAGATTTCTTTGCTTTGATAATTTTCAAAACAGCTTAAAGTTTGTCACAATATGAATCAGCTAGTAACTTCATACTTAGGAAGGGTGGGTGGGTAGATGTTTACCAGACCCTTATACTGATACACTTTTACTTAGATCGATTGTGGTCATCAATTTAAGGGAAAGGAAGGAAAAATAACAGCTGATTGTAAAATGTGCCAAGGAAAAAACATGCCAAGGAAAAATTGAGCTTAGGCAGAAAATTATTTTTCAAGTGGAGAAATAAAATGTGGTCGGGGGTTGAGTATGAAAATAATGTGAAGCATTGTCAGTCCCAAGCACTGATCGATGTTGTTTATTAATTATTTCAACAGCAAAGATGTTTTTGCATGTACCAATTAACTATTCAGGTTGTGAATTCTAAATCATTCTTCCTAACATAGAACACTCCTTAAGTTCTAAACATTGCATTCATGACTTTCAAGACATGAATTTAGAGGTTGGAGCTGCAGAATTTCCAACTTGAATCAGGCAGAAATTTGAGATAATGATTCTTGTAGGCATTAAAGTAAGCAAGGTTTTATTCGTCTAGATAAAAAACATGACTAGTTACTGTGCCTCACAGACTTTTGTCATCTGTTATGAAACCAATTGTTTTTCCCTATATCGCCTCTACCAGTAAAGATGATGAATTTGTCATTAGCATATACATACTTTGTTAATTAATTTCAGAACAGCCTTTCAAATACTGAGTATCTAACATTCAACTTGGGGAGCTGGGGAACATCTTCAGAAACAAAAGGCATTAAGGAGTTATCTCTAGAAATGTTGTAAGTTAAAGTCAAAAATATTCATATGGTAATATAGTAATAATATTGTTATTGCTGTTGGATTACATAGAGGATATTACACGGTGGTGCGAAGATATGAATTTTATTTTCGAGTGGCAAACAATATTTTACGAACAAGCGCAGCGAGTGAGTAAAATATTGTTTTTGCCACGAGAAAATAAAATTCATATCTTCAAGCCGCCGTGTAAATGTCGTTTTTAATATATAGACAAACAGACATCTATAAAATAATAGAGGGAAATGACCGAAATTACGTCATCGATAACTCACGTGTGAGATGGAAAATAAACCACTCGGGTCCCGGATGTAGTTTTTACGAATTTTACGAGTGGTATATTTTCCAGTAAAACACTCGTGTCTATATAATAAAAAAAATAACTCGCCGTCCCAACTCGGCTAGCCTGCGACGCAGACACTCTAAACCGCCTGGATAACTAAGCAGTTTGTATAAAGGGCATACAGTAGTTGCCGAGTTGTATAGTAAATGTATTATAGTAGCAGAGGAGGATCATTTCCAGGATTCTCATTCCTAGTCCCCCGGAGAGACAGAACGATAAATCCTGAAAATTTATACGAAAGAATAGAGCCGATCTTGATCGATTCCCTCGTGCAAATGAGCATAACATATGGCAATGTCCTTGAAGGTAAATTCAGCCTAGTTTCTATAGTTTGATTCGCAGTTTCCTTTGATTCAGCAAGTACAAACTTAAGGAAATCCTGCTTCAACCCTAAAGAGGATTTTACCTACGACAGCCGCACCAAAGTTGTTTCACCTTGTAAATGCCACCGACTTTTGCAAAATTAAATTTGAAAAATTTTGCATGCTTAGACACCCACAAAGCGCAGTTCCTCTCTTCTCAATACGACTAAGCAGAGTAAATTTCAGATCCGTTTACAAACAAAAGTCCTCTGATTAACACTCTTTCAAAGCCGTGTTAATTGAATGATTTTCTTTGTTTGCCACCTAGCCGAGATGAGATCATGTCAATGACTGTGTTAAGCTAGAAGCTCTCTCTCTCTCTCTCTCTCTCTGGGGTAAATCATGAAAAAGGCCTTCAAAGCGGGGTATGCTATTGCTTAATTTGTTTGTCATTCCTGATGGTGCCTGCCGCCTTGTAGGTTAGGAAAAAATATCGCTGTCCATTTTAGTTAGGACGAGAAAGTCGCTGTCGATTGGCATAAATTTCTGTGATACTCAATTTCAGATTTACGGCAGATATACAAAAGTCAGGATAAAGAGCCACAAAAGAACAAATTTTATTATAAACTTTTTGCCGCGGTGAATGAAAAGTTACGGACATACATTCTCGCCGGAGCCCGAATGGAGAGCTTGAAACCTCACTAGCAAAAAAAATTCCCGGAGGCTCAAATACTGAAGGTTAACATGCAAATTTAGTAAACAGATTTGACATGATATAGTAGCCGGCAGAAGTAAAGATATACTCGGTACGGATTCCAATACTTACCTTTACCTCCACTTTTAAACGCTACCGATTCAGACTTGGTCAGGCTTCTTGTGCTTTATCTTGCTCTGAAACAGTTTGTCCGTATACGACGTCTCCAAACTTAATGTGATTGTACCGGTATATAGCATCATATAGGAGATTGTTTACTTATTGTTCTTGCATATTTAAGTCGGTTGCAAGCTTGGATGACCTTGGATGTTACGTCACAAGCGCGAAAAATTTCTCGTCCGCATTTTTCTACCATCCGAGCTCCGATATTGACTTCATCGTAACACCTTTTTGTGGAGGATAGACAAAAGGTTGTTTTCTGTTTCAAGGACTGAAAGTTCCTTTAAAATGAAATTATCACCAGCGGTTACCCCTCGCACCAGCCTGCGTTTCTTGGCTGTGTCAGTGATGTTCTGTGCTATTCTGGTTCACATTTTTGCACTTGAAGAAAAACTGGCGCGAAAACTGCGAGAAGAAGATGGCGTATCTGAAGGCACTGAAGTTGGTGAAAAACAATCAAAGTTGTACCGTGATCGAAGAACGGTGAAAAATAACGCGACCCCCAACCTGTCGGACTTTGCAAACCGGCTGAAAGATCTTGAAGAAAGGTATGATCTTAACTCGGCGATTCGCTGTCTCATTTCGAGTGCTACATTTTCTATCACATGAGCAATGTTCAATGTCGGTTACGTGCCACAATCCTAAACTCAAACTTCCCTTAAAATGGTGGATTTACTAACATCATTTACCGTTTTTACTAAGCCACAACAAGAGCGTACGTATGATGATCAGACAATTTCAAGCGTTGGAGAAAAGGTTTGAGAAATAATAAAATTAACTGCATTAATGCTGATTGCTTATTCAAAAACTAACAAGTACCTCTGAAATTGTTACTCCTGAGGCCGATTGCATAGGAAACCCGTTTGATTTCTTGTCTAGCGAGGAATTTTATTTTGGTATGGCAACATGACAGATCGCCTGTTTCCCAAAAAAATAACGGCGATTCTTGAGGTAGAGAATTCAGGGGAAATGCCAAGAAAGTCCCTGTTATCCAGGCCGGACAAGTATTATGGCCGGGACTAATGGCTGTGCAATGGAAGATTTGTGTGGGAAGAGTTTCATCCAAGTTCTGGCTAACATCGTTCAGTGTACCTGAGAGTTATTAATTGTTGCTTATCTTTTAGCTATAAACTGACTTGATTACAGACTTTCATATCATCGACGCAATAATTTCTAGTGCAAAAGAAGCGTAATATTATAAACAGCTGTAAACAGCAATAAAGGAAAATACCGCTTAAAAATTTTTTTGTAAAATTAAAACAAAGCCGAATTTGTTCTGAACTGGTGGCTGATTTTGGGGCTTAAGGCTATTTCCATACTATACAGCTTTTAGTGTGGACGCGAAAAGCTGTTAAGGTTTATATAGTATCAACAGCAACGGCACAGAACTGGAAAGTTCACACGCATCAAAGCGGTTGACCGAGAGAGGTTGGGAACTAAATTTCGGCCCCCTAAATGTTTACTTCCGTCTCAGTAGATTCCAGTCCTCGCTCCTACTTAATCACGTCCACAAAGGTCCCTTGCACAACGCCGGTGGCACATGACCTATTTGATATGTTACGCTCTATTTTAAAGATCGGCGCGACATAGCCTTGCTCCTTTTATACTGAAATTGCCCCGAAATTATCGTTCTTATGTGTGCAAAGAAGCCCTACCACGTATGGTTTTCGTGCCGGCGCCAGAGCCATCCGGCATAGTGCGAAAATGGCGTAAGCCGATCACGGCGAAAGTCCTTGTTAAACTGTCTCTAAGATTTTTTATGGTTGATCTTTTTTTCAGACTTGATGGCTTACTGCGATTATCTTCTCGACCGGGGGAATCCTACGGGTCACTTTTGAGCTACCTTCTCGGTAAAATATGATGTTCAATCCAATCGAAAGTTTCCTAAAGCAACTAGCGGATCACAGGCTTTTTGTCCCAAAACACCAGCCTTAAATAATAAGTGATTTTTGAGCTTTAAGTTTGTCAATGATTGTTATAGAGTATGTAAGCTACGATATGGCCAAAAATCCGTATTTAATCCATTTGGCTGGTAAATGTGCTGTGATTTATGAGTGATATCAGGGGCACCCAACGACAATTAAAGGTCGCCTAGAATTTTAGGAAGCCTTTTTTCTGGCTGAAATTTTCGAAAAGGTAAGTTTTGATCCCTATAATTTTCGGATCACCAGACTTTCAGCTAGGAAATCCGAACAGATGAAAAATTTTTAGGGGATAAAAATATGCTTATATCTACCGTTTAAATGCTAAAATACGTTTAACAATGCTATGTTTAAGTGGTTTTGAACTATATTCTCGTTGGGTGTCCCTGTGATATCACCGGCGTGTTTGTATTTCAGGTCAGCATATGCAAAACCCTGGAAAGAGACGAGTTGGACCACCCGGACCTCCAGGGAAACAAGGACCGACTGGTGCTCCTGGGAAACAGGGACCGACTGGTGCTAATGGGAAACAAGGACCTTCTGGTGCTTCTGGAAAACAGGGACTGGTTGGTGCTCCTGGGAAACAGGGACCGGCTGGACCAAAAGGATCAAAAGGTAAAAAGGGTAAACGACCAAGAGATCAAGGGAAAAAATGAAAATTATATAGGCGAATCTTTGTTTACATTTTTTGGCTCATTAGCACGTGCTTTACATTCTTTGTGATCAAGCAATTAAAATAAACTGTCTGAATATCAAACAAGCACAACAATTTCAGTTATCTGTGGAAATTTGAGCCCGATGCATCGAATAGTTTCAGAAAAATTATGTATGAAAAACTCGAAACTTGACAAAGGATGTATGGGCTCATTAACATTTTTGCCACCCAGCAATTTCGCAGGTCCAACTCTCTCACTTTTGAACATCGGTAACGCCTTCTATGAGTTAACTCGTATGCTAACAAGCAAACATGTAACAATGACGTCAGGAAAGATTCGCCTATAACACCAACTTTGAACGTGGTGGCGAGAGCAAATGAAACCCGTTTTGTAAGTTTAGTTTGTATGTTCCAGCAATTAGAAGTTAGCCGGTTGTGAAGAAAACTGTTAAATTAGCATCTCAGTTATTTTCTGACAGAGTATCCTTTTACAGCTCTTGCAGTTAATGATCATGGAGGGTCTTAATGCAAGCCGGCCAATTTTCAACCCCTACACGCGTGAAATTCAATGAGGATTATAAGGACCCCATACTCGGGGAAAAACACTTTTATCGATTCCACTTTTGAGTACTAAAATAAGTCATAGAGCTGGGACCAAGCGCTTTGACTCATTTGATACTTTTTAGGGGAACAAGGAAAACCAGGTACCAACAAGCCATTCCCAGGCCCCCCTGGTCCAAAAGGAGAGCAGGGAGCAGTTGGGAAGACTGGAGCCCAGGGACCACAGGGTGCCAAAGGAGAAAGGGCACAGGATGGAGCTGGAAATTCAGGGGTGAAGTACATTCGCTGGGGGAGGACCACGTGTCCTAGTGGTGCGCAGATAGTTTATAAAGGTAAACGAAAAGGAGCTTTAGTATACCTAATAGTTACTATATTTACTCCCATGATTCTAAAGACAGAAAGAGTGATGAACTGAAAATTTTTATGCCACGTGTTGATCATTATCTAAAAGTGACAATTATGACTAAATTTTTGCCTAAAAATGTTACAGCCATTTGTAGTTAGTGGTCTTCGTGTTTCAAGCAATCTGATTAGTTCGCTCTGTCTTTGACTATCCAGCAATTTTCACCTCCTAGCGATATTGCATATGAGCTAGGTATTTTGCCAATGTTCTGAGTAAGAACTAGTCAACAGAATCCTAGGGTTGATGTTTTTGAAGGTAAGAAAGGATTTCAAACTAGTTTAACCGCGTTTTCCGATTTACTTTGGCAGGGTGTTTTTCGTTTGCAACAACAGTTCACTCGGGTAGAAGATGCCATTTTGTTAACTCAGCATTTCCTTAACACAAGAGGAATTCAGTTTACTAGAAATCAAAGTTAATTTATGACAAAAGAAAGTGAAAGCAAATGTTCGCGAAAATTCTTCTTTTCAAATACCCAGGACAGAGAAACGACGCCTCGCCTTCCTCAACCGCTAGCCGCCATTTCATACACTTGCGAAGAACGGAACAGGAAACCTTTTTGAGCTATTTTGAAAATTAATAGCTCATATCTCAGGGGTCTAAGCGTATGTATCTTCGTGGCTTTGTGCGTGCTGCTTCGAGACATTTGTGACCTAATTCAGTTATCGCGAACGTGCAACGCACGAATTTCATAGTTTATGAGTTCTGTTTCACCTGCTTCAAGGTAGGGTATAAACGATCGTATATTTTTCAAAGTTCTTCCATTGACACAATAATTGATGTAATATATCAAACATGAGACGCAGTGTTTCATCACCAGATGAAACACCGAGAAGAGAGTTGAAAATACGACGCGCAAAACAAAATCATTTTTGAAGGAGAAATTAAGGATGCAAAAATGAGCAGTTTTTCATCTGATATCCAAACACTCATTAAACATTAATTTCCTTTGAATTTTCTTTATGAATTATTAATGAGTTTGAGAAATTTAGATCATGGACTTTAATTCGAAAGCATATGGCCTATAAATTGTGGTTTTAGAGGTTTTTGTCTGGTAGCTTATATTTTTGAAGCTGTACCGAGTAAGTTAATCCTGCCATAAACAAAGTTCATTCCGTCTTGCTTACAAAGTTCAACAGACCTTTTTCTTTCCAAAAAAATAAACATGAATCAAGTGAACAACATGATACATGCTTTCTGCTTAAGAGTGATTATAGTTATTCAAACGAATTTTTTGACTTCGGCGGAGCGCGAAGCAAAGGACTCGCGACGCTCAGGAATGTACTATCAAAGACAATATTGGGCACGCAAAGACTGTAGGTTTTCGGTTTTATTCGGCTGTTTATACGAAGTGAGAGCCGAATTAGTTCGAGATATCTCGAGGTCATTTCGATTTCTTTGATTTATTCTTTAACTTATTCGAGGAAGAAAGAATTATTATTTTGGCTTTCCCGGGGTTTGAACCGACTCACCTGTGTGACCCGTCAGATCAGAGGAGACTCTAAGTTGAGGGATTAGCCGATTTCGCTACTGCGACCCAAGGAAGTTAAAGATATGAAAAATAGCTATGAAATTATGCACTAGGTTTCGGAGATTGGGCGCGCAAGTTCGTGACTTTTCGGCTTGTTTCGGCTATTTCACGAAATGAGACCGGACTAGTTCGTGATATCTTGAGATCACTTCGAGTTGAGTCTTTAATTTACTCGAGGAATAAATAGAAGATATTACATGGCCGCGCAGAGACACGAAATTTCTCTACGACTGTTGAAAAACATTTCACGAGTGAGCGCTCCTGTCGAACTGTTTTATGATGAATTTAAAGTTACAAAATGCTGCACAAAGACGTTTTGTTTTTGTTGAGTGTTAGTAATAAAATTGCTTTGATGCGTTGCGTGACTTTCTCGAACGTTCCCTGCGTTTTTGGATTATTCATAAATAATTAATTAGGACATGTTTACATTTCAGCATGAGTCAGCAGATTTGCATCAGTTACTGAAATCCTAAAATATGTCGAAAAGTTACTACTATTCGCCTGTTTAGTATTTTCTAGAACCTTATGTCAAACGGTATACAAGTTCCAAGTGAGTTCTTTTGACGAACTAAGTTTTTTCCCACGAGCTGGAGTGCTGTGTTTAGTCAAGTGTGACGAAGGTCGATTTTCAAGTTCTCGGCAATCCCTACGTTTGGGGAGTTGATAATCATATTCATAGTAGTTTTTAACAATTTGGTTATTTTGCACCAGATTTCCGAAGGTAAGACACAGAAAAGTGAATCTGTAGTATGAGGATCGACTTAGCTGTGCGCAGCGGTTCGTGTTTTCATTAATGTACAGCAATAACCAAAAAATAGTCTTAATTTAGGGTTCAAACAGAAGATTGTCGTCACAGTTACGCTGAAGCATTCAAAATAGCTCATGCACGTAAAACGTGCCTATGTCAATTAACTTGGCGAGTTGATAGAAGACTGAGAAAACAGTACCAACGTCGATTTCAAAGAACAACT